ATGAACTTGTTCACGTGGTCGTTTAAGTTGAGTGGGACAGATAAAAGTGGAGCTTTGGTCTTGAGATTGGAGTAGGAGACGTAGACGCTGAGTTGCTGAAACGAGCCGGCGTAATCGATCCATGAGTTGACCAGGTCGCCACTTTTCAAATAGACGCCGGCAGAGTCCAGATCGACGGCTTGATCGGAAACAGCGACCCCAAATCCAGCCCGACCTGGTTACCGTCAATGTCCCAAAGTCAAATTCAGTGGCCGCGATGCCCCCGGAGAAGCAGAACAACAACAATAACAGTAATAAACTCGCGGCAATTTCGCCGGAAAATCCATCTGGGAGTGATGTCATTGCTGGATTTTGCTCCAACCCATTCGAGACCGAGGATCAATTTTTCCAAAAAAAAATATAAGCTTTCCCTTTAAAAGACTAAACAAATCGTCAGTTCACTGCGAATTTGGTCTAAAATTAGGTTTTTCAATGTGTTGAGAACGGGAATGAAAAGGGGAAGAAAGAAGGAGGTCTGAAAAGACGAAATTACCCACTATCTAACAGGCCAGTTAACGTGAATATTGACGGAGGACCAAAATTGTCCTCGTTACAATAAGAGTGTCCACAAATTGTCTGATTTTTTTAAAGAGGACTAAAATTGTCGGTGTCACTATAAGTCTAGAACCAAAAATGTCTTTTACTCTTATGAAATGGACAATTAAGCTCTTAGGAGAACACATTCTTATATCTAATATGCATGTAGTGTGATAACATCCCGGTTACCATTCCAAATGCGTAGTTATAGGTTCGAACCCCATTGATAGGGACTTAGATTCTTTGGGTTAAAAATGTTTGAGAAAATATAGAACATATATTTTTAATTGCACCCAAAGTAGCCTCTGACTATTGAATTTTAAGTCAAAATGGTCATCTGTTAGCTTTGGCATGAAGTAGGTGTTAAAATGAAGGGTAAAATAGGTAATTCAGGTTTTAGACTCCAATTTAATGAATTTGCGACTCCCTTTCAACAGCCTACACACGTTTTTGTTCAAATTAAGTTTTTGTTCTCCTCAATCTGCGATCAAAATGTGGGATAATCAACTAGAATGTCAAAAAAAAAATCATCTTCAACTTCATCTACAAACTTCCCAATGCAAAGATTTCACAATGGTGATATTCCTATTCGCTTTTTTCAGTGTGACATGCAATCACTACTACATAAATAGTATACTACGTCAGTTAATATACGACAGTTATAACTGTCGTATATACTCTAAATATTTTTTTTTAAAAAATAAAAATAAAATATATATAGTATATACCGCAGTTATACTTATAAATGTCATATATACTATAAATATTTAATTTAAAAGAACATATATATATATATATATATATATATATATACTTCAATTTAGAAAAAAAAATTAAATTAAGGTATATACGGCGGTTATATATTATAATTGCCATATATATCTAATTTTTTTATAAAAATAATAATAACAAAATATATTAAACCACTGTTAATTAAAAACTGCCATATATTAAGTGATGTAGTATACCATTTCTGTAGTAGTGATTGAATGCCACACTAACAAAAATGAACAGGAACATCACCATAGTGAAATTTTTGCCTTGGGAGTTTGTAGATGAAGTTAAAGATAAACTTTTTGACATTCTAGTTGATTATCCCACATTTAATCGCAGATTGAGGAGAACAAAAATCTAATTTGAAAAAAAAAAAGTGTGTAGGCTGCTGAAAGGGAGTCACAAATTCATTAAATTGGAGTGCAAACTCTGAATTACCCATTTTACCCTTCATTTTAACACCTATTTCACGCCAAACCTAACTGATGATCATTTTGACTTAAAATTCAATAGTTGGAGGACCACTTTGGGTGCACTTAAAAGTCAAAGAACCAATTTAAGAAAATACTATAGTCGAAGGATCATTTTGAGAATTATATATATATATATATATATATATATATATATATATATATATATACACGCGCACACATATACATATACTAGTGTTTTACCTATGCAATGCACGAAAGAAATTATATTGTCATGAATTTAAATTAAAAAAAATCACCTACTTTTTTCTTAAATCAATTAATTAGCAATGTATAACTGTGTACGGAATAAAATAAAAAGTGAAAATAAGTACTAGTACAATATTACTCTTAATAGAATTAGTCATTTCTTTGATTATTCCATTTTTAATATACAATGGAGCCGTATAAAACCCCTAGTAAGAAACTTTTTGAGTGCTATTCACTCTATTACATTGTATTACCTGTTCAAACATAATTTTTCAACCTAATGAAACACAAAGAGTCAACAACATATTTACTGAGGTTCGATTTCATGACCTTCCACATGAGAGAGATCACTACATGCCATTTGAGCACAAGGTGCTTGACACCCTAAGTAAGAAACTAATTAGTAATTACATCAACTTTTACATGTTTAATCTATAAAGCTCTTTACATTTTTTTTTTCCTTATGTGGTAATGAACAAATTACATGAATTTAGGCAAACCACCGCCCATAACATTAGCAAATAGCCAAATAGTAATAAGCCTGATCTTTTGGGGAAGTGCTCCAAAATTGGTAAAACTGAACGAGAATAATCATAATGAGTAGTCATTTAATCCACAAAAGAGTTTGTTTTCCTATGAATAGGATCGTGACACATGATTATAATGATGCAAATTTACATTATTGATCACCAATAATAAATTACTTGACGTAAATCTACTTGACTAGTTATTTTTATATTTGATTATCAAGTAATTTTTTTTAAACTTATAATAAGGTGGATAATTCACGAGCAACAAATGATTATATATAATTTTATTGTAACATAAGAAGTAAACATTTTAAAGTAATCTAGAAAAGAAAAATAACATATTTCTAGTTAGTATACTATTTATTTATAGCTTATAGTTATGGATTAAGTTGCTCTCCCATATGAGAGGTTGTGGGTACGGACCCGTACCTCAGTGGAGGTAGTATTGACTCGAGATTGATTTCTGTCCGCACAGACTTAGTTCACCGGTTCAATAGACAGTATTTGAGAGAAGAGACTAAGATTCGAACCTCGACAGAACCAATGTAAGGATTATGCCCAGAGGGAACGTATTCTTTGTGAGCATCGGCATTTGGCCCTGTCATCTGAGCCCCTTAACTTTTAAAAAGTGCAATTAAATACTTCAACTTATTAAAATTGAGCAAATAAACCCAATTTACCGATAAACATGATGTTGTTGACAAACACAAACTGTCCGTTAACTGTCATCAGTTGCTATTGACCGCCCTAAATCATCCTTGGCCGTCATGGTTGTGAAAAACCGACAACCTGTTTGACGGAGAAGGCAACAACTGTTGCCCTATTCGGTGGAGAAGGCGACCAACACGTTGAGAAGGCGACTTATATGGTTGCTTTCTCTAGCGACCACTGGTCACTGGAGAAGACGACAATCAACCATCTACATTGGAGGTGGTAAGAGATCGGCAATCGTTCGAAGCTGCTGGTCGCTGATATTAATTCTCGGAACATCGCCAGCGTCGTCGCAAGTCGCAGGAATCTAGCGACCTGCTATTACAAGTCACAATTAGAATTTTGGATTTCAATGCATGAAAATAACATATATATGGACTTAATTATACTTTTTAAAGAGTTAATTCCACTAGAGGTCCCTTGTCTTTGGTGACAATTTCAAATTTAGTCCCAAACTATCATTTTTGCCATTTTACATCCTAGACTATCGTTTTTTGGATACTTTTAGTCCTTCTCATGATTTTTTCTATTTTTAGTAAAGGCATTTTTGTCTCTTCATATTTTTCTTTTATTAATTTCCAGTTTCAACCAGTTTAATTGAAACCGGAAAAGGACTAAAATTGCCACAAAAAACAAGGGACCTCTGGTAGAATTAACTCTTTTTTAAAAATTTAAAGACTTAATTACACTTTGAAGACTTATTTGACAATTTTCTAAAAAAAAAAGTGTTCCCCGAACTTTCTGGTGGTTAAGTTTAAAATATTTAGTGATGTTTTTTTTGTTCATTTTCTTACCAAAATATAAAAAGGTTCTGATTTACTCCGTACTAAGTTGGCACTAAAAATTCCTCAAATTTGAGTACCAGTGGGCCCCGCAAAATAACACAATTGCAGAAATATTTGGAAAATATTTACCAGACACGAACCGCGGTGGCTCGGAACCGAACCTAGCTAAGAGGCGGCTAGGTGAAAAGTTTTATCCAAAACACACACTCTCTCTCTCTCTCTCTCTCTATCCAAAACTTCGCAACTACCGCGGTGACGGTGACTCTCCTCCTCGTCTCCGGCGGACGGCCCCACCATGAGCGGTTGTCGCGTGCCGCATAGCCTTTCTCTGTCGACGTGGCAAAAGCGCAGAAGCTCTGAGCTGTCACGTCACTGGGGAAAAAAATGTGGGTAGGGACCGGTCCGAGCCCGACTGCGAAAATGTGATACCTTTAGTGGACCCACTCGCTTCTCTCTCTCTCTTTCTCTCTCTTCCCTAACCATGGAGGAGCAGATCTGATGTCATCAACTCTGCTCTCTCAATTCTATAAATGAGACACCTCACCCTTCTCGCTCACCCCCAACTGATAATAGAGAGAAGGAAGAAATAAGAAATAACCTCCCTCGCCTCTCGCCGCTTATTCTCGCTTTCTCTCTCTTCATTTTCCGTTTTTCGTTTCTCTCCTCATATAGAGTCCTCTTGAGGATAGGATCCCTCAGTTTCTCCTTGAATTTTGCTTCTTCTCCGCGGAAGCGGAACAGTTTGACGGAATTTTGCATAATATATACGTACTTCCCTCTTTCATTTCCAGATTTGTTTTCCCTTCCTCCGCCTACCTACCTCCTTACCTACTCCCCAAATCAATCGATTTACCGCTTAGCTGTTCACGAAATCGTTTGTTTTGATAATATATCGACGGATCTGATACCTGTTTTCACTATAAAAAATAAAGATCTGGTCTTTGCGATTGTGTCTTGAATAAACTAATAGTTTGAATTGTGGTGTTGGGAGTGTGGAAATGTCTGTGGCGTCGAGTTCGAGTTCGGTTTTTCAGGTGAAGAGCAGGGAGCTCCTTGCGCCTTCACCGGCCAAGAGTCTGGTGAGTGGGGTGCCGTTGGGACGTGTGGGTGTAGGAGCGGGCAGGGGCAGAGGTAAGTGTAAGAGGACCAGTTCTGTGGCCAATAGGGCGAGTGGTTTGGAGAAGAGGTTTTATGGGACAAAGTTGGGAGCTTTGGGCTCTGAGACTTTGCATCTTTGGCAATCGGATGGGCCTGGTAGAGCACCGAAGCTGCGGATGGTGGTACGTTCTGCATTGTCTCAGGTTCCGGACAAGCCTTTGGGTCTCTATGATCCATCCTATGATAAAGATTCCTGTGGCGTTGGATTCGTTGCTGAACTTTCCGGTCAAAGCAGCCGCAAGACGGTATAATAAATACTATTATGTTTTACAACAGTAACAGTTTGCCCAAGATTCATAGTATACTCGTTTGATTTTTTTTTTTTTTTTTTTTTTTTTTTGGTGGGGTTAAAATCTATTTCGTGGACTTTCTAGTAATTGATTGATGAAGTATATAACTATTCTCAAAAAAAAAAAAAAACTTTGGTGTGTAGGTGTCAGATGCAATTGAAATGTTGGTACGGATGTCCCATAGAGGCGCGTGTGGCTGTGAGACGAATACTGGTGATGGGGCTGGCATTCTTGTGGCTCTTCCTCATGACTTTTACAAGGAGGTTTGTTTGTTTTTCAGTAATCTTCATTGCTAGTAACTGTTTGGGTATTTACTTTAGACAAGCCTGTGGTTTTCAGAAGATCCTATTTTATTTTTTAATCGTCTTTCTTAATTCTTATTCCACCTAGACTAGATCCTATTTGCGTGCTAGTGGATTTTTTTCCTCTTACTTTTAGTGAACTCCTTTAAAGTAAATGGGGGGATAAGAAAGTGGAAAAGTTGAAGAGGAAAGTTTCCTCCAATTAATCTTTTTTGGTGTTGATTTTAGTTGCTTTTCAAGATTCAGGCTTGAGCCCTGTTAGTTTGTGTCAATGTGGTGAGTGGTTGGAGACTTGTGAGTTGTGAGTTGAGACCTTTATTGTTTGACACCCTGTTTCAGGTTGCTAAAAATGTAGGGTTTGAGCTACCACCACCTGGACAGTATGCAGTTGGCATGTTCTTCTTGCCTACTTCTGAAAGCCGAAGAGAGCAAAGTAAAATTGTATTTACAAAGGTAATCTAAGCCCCAAAGGTTCTTTTATAATTGGCATGTTATGTCATTTTTCTTTACTGTTCCATTGGTCATAATTGTTTAGAGTCATGATGAAGTGAGGCTGGTTTACTTGACCATCATGTTTACATTATGCTTATTGCTTCTAAAATTTCTAAAATTTTGTGTTTGATTGTAGGTGGCTGAATCACTTGGTCATACAGTTCTTGGATGGCGACGTGTCCCAACAAATAATTCAGGACTGGGAAACTCTGCTTTGCAAACAGAGCCTGTCATTGAGCAAGTGTTTCTTACTCAGACTCCCCGGTCAAAAGTTGATTTTGAGCGACAGGTAGTAGTCTTACTTGAGTAGTAATACTTGTTTGGTGTTATTTTGATCAACTTTTAGTTTCTTAAATATGCTTTGAATTTGCTAAATGGCAGATGTACATATTACGGAGGGTTTCTATGGTAGCCATTCGAGCTGCATTAAACCTCCAATATGGTGGTTATAAAGATTTCTATATATGTTCTCTTTCCTCGAGGTGAGTTTGTCTTGAGTTTTACTTGGTAGCTAGCTATTGCATTTCTGTGCTACAATGTCTCAAATCTTGATCTGCTTCCTGTAGGACTGTTGTCTACAAAGGCCAGTTAAAGCCTGATCAGTTGCAGGAATACTACTATGCAGATCTTGGGAATGAAAGGTTTACGAGCTACATGGCCCTGGTAAATATATTATCCATTCACCTTTTATTTGTACACTGACTCCATACTTCAACAACCAACAGCATTGGATCAACCCTAACTGAAGAGATGCAAGGTTGAGAAAATGACTTCTGAGGCATTGCAGTATGTATGATCTCTTAAGTTCTTCCACTCCCTTGATCACTGTTTGAGTTCAGATTCTTGGTTGAGTTGGTAAGGACCTCAATTATGAAGTCATCAATGTTTGCAGAAACTTGATGTCCTCCTTTCTATAATCAATAAGGATGAAACCTCCAATTAGTGGGGGAAAGGAACTGTGTCTGGTCAAGGTAGCCTAGGGTTTGAAGCCATTTTGCGGAACAGCGGTTACAAAATCTCAAGTGCCAAACCAAATAAAAAAGATTTTCTACAAAATTCATATAGTTGCAATTGGGATTTCCAATGTGATTTCTTTTCATTGTTTTCTGGTGCAGGTTCATTCTAGATTCTCAACAAACACCTTTCCTAGTTGGGATCGTGCTCAACCCATGCGTGTCTTGGGTCACAATGGGGAAATTAATACTCTCCGTGGCAACGTGAACTGGTAAGTCTAATGTTGTAAAAACGCGAGCAGGATCCTTGTGCCCTTAGGGTGGAGAGGTTTTGCTTTGGTTGTTAAAAAAGAGTATTCTTGTCATTGTAATGGAAGATTAGGATTCTCGGTTTAGATGTTGAAGCTGGAGTTGTTTAAATATAATATTGCCTTATATTCTTGTTTTATTATTTCAATTTTGATTTTGATTATAGATGATATCCAGTCATTTTTTCTTTTTAGGATGAAGGCTCGTGAGGGTCTTCTAAAGTGTAAGGAGCTGGGGCTTTCTAAGGCAGAGATGAAAAAGCTTTTACCCATTGTTGATGCTAGTTCTTCTGATTCAGGTTTTGCCCACTTTCTTTCTCTTAAAAACTACTTTCTGCAGCCAATAGGCTGTAGCCCCTTAATAGCTTCTGCAGGTGTGAAATACTTTAACTCACTGTGGTTATTTTATATCTGATTCCTGATCTTTTTACATTAGGAGCATTTGATGGTGTACTTGAACTCTTAGTTCGTGCTGGTAGAAGTCTCCCAGAAGCTGTGATGATGATGATTCCTGAAGCCTGGCAGAATGACAAGAACATGGATCCTGAAAGGAAGGCTTTGTATGAATATTTCTCAGCTCTCATGGAACCTTGGGATGGGCCTGCTCTTATTGCATGTATGGGACCTTGGGAAGTTTTTGTTTGACATCTAAGTTTTTCCACTGTTGATTTCCTTTGCTAACACATAATCTTTGCATATGTGAAGTTACTGATGGACGCTACCTTGGAGCAACATTGGACCGCAATGGTCTTCGTCCGGGCCGCTTTTATGTCACACACAGTGGCCGGGTTGTAATGGCAAGTGAAGTTGGTGTGGTTGATGTTGCACCTGAGGATGTATGTAGAAAAGGAAGACTTAATCCTGGCATGATGCTTCTTGTGGATTTTGAAAACCATGTTGTTGTCGATGATGATGCTCTGAAACAGCAATATTCTCTTGCTAGACCTTATGGGGAGTGGCTTGGAAGGCAAAAGCTACAATTGAAAGACATAGTTGAGTCTGTAAAAGAATCAGACAGGACCCCTCCACCAATTGCAGGAGTAGTACCTGTGAGCTACCAGTCTCATATTGCCTTTATTTTCTTATTCACTGTGGTCTTTTTCTGACAAGTGCTTTGTATTTTTCACTTTTAGGCATCCAATGATGATGAGAACATGGAAAATATGGGCATTCAGGGTCTGTTGGCTCCATTGAAGGCCTTTGGGTATGTATCCCTTTTATTTTCTGCTAGGTACTAAGAATCTCTATGGTTTTGCGTTCTCATGGAGGAAATGATTAATTTGATGCCTTTCAAATAGCTACACGCTTGAGGCCTTGGAAATGCTGCTACTCCCAATGGCAAAAGATGGGACTGAAGCTCTTGGTTCTATGGGTAATGATGCTCCATTGGCTGTAATGTCCAACAGGGAGAAGCTTTTATTTGACTATTTCAAGCAGATGTTTGCTCAGGTTACAAATCCTCCTATTGATCCTATTAGGGAAAAAATTGTCACTTCTATGGAGTGTATGATTGGCCCAGAAGGGGATCTTACAGAGACGACTGAAGAGCAGTGTCATCGCCTCTCACTCAAAGGTCCTCTTTTGACCATTGAGGAAATGGAAGCCATTAAGAAGATGAACTACAGAGGATGGAAGAGCAAGGTTCTTGATATCACATATCCTAAAGAACATGGAAGTAAGGGTTTAGAGGAGACCTTGGATAGGATTTGTTCTGAAGCACATGCTGCAATCAAGGATGGTTATTCAACCCTTGTGCTTTCGGACAGAGGTATTTCATGTGACTGAATTAATATACATATAAACATCTTGTCACTTTATTTAGCACACAACTTATATATTCAAGGTATTGATTTTTTTTTTATCCCTTCTTGAACTGGTGTAGCCTTCTCAAAGAAGCGTGTTGCTGTGAGCTCCTTGCTGGCTGTTGGGGCAGTCCATCATCACCTAGTTAAAAAGCTTGAGCGCACTCGTGTTGCACTGATTGTCGAATCTGCTGAGCCCCGTGAGGTGCATCATTTCTGCACACTTGTAGGATTTGGAGCTGATGCTATTTGCCCTTATTTGGCTATAGAAACTATATTAAGACTGCAGGTTGATGGAAAGATCCCACCAAAGACTACTGGTGATTTCCATACGAAAGATGAGCTTGTTGGAAAGTACTTTAATGCAAGCAACTATGGGATGATGAAGGTTCTTGCCAAAATGGGCATATCAACTTTGGCCTCTTACAAAGGTGCTCAAATTTTTGAGGCAGTGGGCCTTTCATCAGAAGTAATGGAGCGGTGCTTTGCTGGAACTCCTAGCAGAGTTGAGGGAGCCACTTTTGAAGCACTTGCACAAGATACACTTAAGTTGCATGAACTAGCATTTCCAACACGAGCTCTCCCTGCTGGTAGTGCTGAGGCTGTAGCACTCCCTAATCCTGGTGATTATCACTGGAGAAAAGGGGGTGAGATTCACCTCAATGATCCCCTTGCCATGTCAAAATTACAGGAGGCTGCCAGATCCAACAGTGTTGCTGCCTATAAGGAGTACTCCAAGCGTGTTCAAGAATTAAACAAACAATGTAATCTAAGGGGTCTTTTGAGATTTAAAGAGGTAGGAGTTAGAGTTCCTCTGGAGGAAGTTGAACCAGCTAGTGAGATTGTTAAACGTTTCTGCACTGGAGCAATGAGTTATGGGTCAATATCATTGGAGGCTCATACAACTCTTGCTATTGCAATGAACAGAATTGGGGGAAAGTCAAATACAGGTTGGTTAAGTCTTTATCAATGATTATTATAATTGTTTTGTCCCATAGTTAATGCATTAGGGCCATTTATTCTGTCAGAGGTTTACTTTCCATCTGCATAGAGGGTGAGGTAAAATGTGTGCTGATTTCTAATGTTTTGCACAGGTGAGGGAGGTGAGCAGCCATCTCGCATGGAGCCTCTTCAAGATGGTTCAAGAAACCCTAAGAGAAGTGCAATTAAGCAGGTTGCAAGTGGCAGATTTGGGGTCTCAAGTTATTATCTCACAAATGCTGATGAACTACAGATAAAAATGGCCCAGGTAACCTTTTGTCAGTTATTTTGGTCTTGATATAAGTTATCCATGCTTGTGCATATTTGACTATTTTGTATTATTATATTATATATATTCCATATAGGAGAAAGGATCCTGTTATTTATATTCCATATAGGAGAAAGGATCCTGTTATTTATGATTTTTTCTTGAGTGGATGACGATGTGTTTGCAACATACCTTACAGCATTTTTGCATTTTTAGCTGATTCCTATGTTTGACATTTTGTGAGCTACCCATAATTGGAAATGTTCTTTAAGCAAGACCTGTATTATTAACACTGTATTCTACAACCTGAAGGGTGCAAAGCCTGGAGAGGGTGGTGAACTTCCTGGACACAAGGTCATTGGTGACATTGCTATCACTAGGAACTCCACTGCTGGGGTGGGATTAATTAGCCCACCTCCACACCATGATATCTATTCAATTGAAGATCTTGCTCAATTGATTCATGATCTTAAGGTAAATTATAGATTTTTATAAATTTCTCTTGGAGTCACTGATCTTCACATTCTAAACTGGTCTGATTTGTGAATGAACAAATAATTTATAATATAATATTTTTCCTTCCATTCTTGTAGAATGCAAATCCAGGGGCTCGAATAAGTGTGAAGTTGGTGTCTGAAGCTGGTGTTGGGGTGATTGCAAGTGGTGTTGTAAAAGGGCATGCCGATCATGTTTTGATCTCTGGTCATGATGGAGGTACAGGAGCCTCAAGATGGACGGGCATCAAGAATGCTGGAGTTCCATGGGAACTTGGTCTTGCTGAGACCCATCAGACATTAGTTGCAAATGATCTTCGTGGTCGGACAGTTCTGCAGACAGATGGCCAGTTGAAAACTGGAAGAGATGTGGCTATAGCTGCACTGCTTGGTGCAGAGGAGTTCGGTTTCAGCACTGCTCCCCTAATAACACTGGGATGTATCATGATGCGAAAATGCCATAAAAACACCTGTCCTGTGGGAATTGCAACTCAAGATCCTGTTCTTCGTGAAAAGTTTGCTGGGGAACCAGAGCATGTAATAAATTTCTTCTTCATGCTAGCAGAAGAATTAAGGGAGATCATGTCTGAGCTTGGTTTTCGAACTCTTAATGAAATGGTCGGGCGTTCAGATATGCTTGAGCTCGATAAAGATTTAGTCAAGAATAATGAAAAATTGAAAAACATTGATCTCTCCTTGCTACTCCAACCCGCTGCTGATATTCGACCAGAGGCTGCACAATATTGTGTGCAGAAACAAGATCATGGCTTGGACATGGCTTTAGATAACAAATTAATAGCATTGTCGACAGCTGCTTTAGAGAGAAGTCTTCCTGTATACATCGAATCTCCAATTATCAACGTAAACCGGGCAGTTGGCACCATGCTTAGCCATGAAGTGACCAAGCGTTACCACCTTGATGGGTTGCCTGCTGACACAATTCATATCAAACTCAGCGGAAGTGCAGGACAGAGTCTTGGAGCTTTTCTGTGCCCTGGCATCACCCTTGAGCTTGAAGGTGATAGCAATGACTATGTGGGTAAGGGGTTGTCAGGTGGCAAGATTATTGTTTATCCTCCAAAAGAAAGCACATTTGACCCCAAGGAGAACATTGTAATTGGAAATGTTGCTCTCTATGGGGCAACAAAGGGGGAGGCCTACTTTAATGGGATGGCTGCAGAAAGATTTTGTGTTCGAAACTCAGGGGCCAAGGCCGTTGTAGAGGGTGTTGGTGATCATGGCTGTGAATACATGACAGGTGGAATAGTAGTTGTACTTGGGAAAACTGGCCGCAACTTTGCTGCTGGAATGAGTGGTGGAATTGCATATGTCCTTGATGTGTATTCGAAGTTCAGGTCACATTGCAATACTGAGCTAGTTGACCTGGATAGAGTTGAAGATGAAGATGATATTATGACGCTTAAGATGATGATACAACAACATCAGCGTAATACAAACAGCAGTCTCGCAAAGGAAGTTCTTGCTGATTTTGACAATTTATTACCCAAATTTATCAAGGTCATCCCAAGAGATTATAAGCAGGTTCTTGCAAGCATGAAAGAAGCAGAAGCTAGCAAAAAAATAGTGGAGATTGCAGCTATGGAATCCGAAGAGAAAGAAGAAGCAGAGTTGAAGGAGAAAGACGCCTTTGAAATAGTGGAGATTGCAGCTATGGAATCCGAAGAGAAAGAAGAAGCAGAGTTGAAGGAGAAAGACGCCTTTGAAGAGCTGAAGAAATTGGCAGTTGCATCCTCAAATGGGAAAGCAAGCCAGGTGAGTTTTGTCACTTCTGTGTTTGAATTTCTCCCCCTCCCCTTGTGCCATATGCTTTATAAACATTGTGGTCATAATAATTGTAGAAACACCATACATATAAATCTAGTGAAATACTATAGATTTATAAATACTTAGGCAGCCTTGACACCCTATACTTATATTTGGGAGTTGCCATTTACCCCTCACCCTTAACCATTGATCTCAAATCTTGTGCTTCATATTTTTTTTTATATAACATTTAGATTTATTTATTATATCAGTTACCCTCTATTTTTAACCAAATTACAATCATAACACTGCACCACTATCAAGAAAACAATATACGTAGTATATATTTATGAAGTGACACGTTTTTCGAGCTAGCTCTTTTGACTTTTTTTTTTTTTCAATTTTTGTTGTTTGAAAACATTGTTTAATATTGAATTATTTTCTTGCTTCCTAAAAACAAATCAATCGAGGAAACAAAGATCGAGGAGGGAGTGGAAAGAAACTGTTGGCCGAGGAGAAATTAAAAAGGAAAATTTTAAGAGTACCATATATATATATATTTGTTGGCAGCAATAGACTAAGGAGAAATTGGTACAACGTACTATTAATGTTTAATTTGTTTATAACTTGATTATGTATTATATATGCTTCTTTTTTCTTTATGTTCATTGACTTAATGAATCCAATGTTAATAATAGTTTACATTTTCCATAATGTTTCATGGAATGTATTAAAATATAGTCTTTATATTATATACGGTATTTTTATTTTTTATTAATAATGTACTATTAATATTTAATTTGTCATTATCGTGTTTGGACTTATAATTGTATATCATGTTACTACTTAAATAATGTATTTATTTGTACTTTTATTTTTCATATTTTTAAAATTTATATATATTATTATTTAAAATTAGAACACATTAATTAAGTATTTTGGAACCAACAGGTTGAAGAAGTGGAACCCGTGAAGAGGCCAACCCAAGTTGACAAGGCAGTCAAACATCGAGGTTTTGTTGCTTATGAGCGAGAAGGAATTTTGTATAGGGACCCAAATATTCGCATGGGAGACTGGGAAGAGGTCATGGAAGAGACTAAACCTGGTCCACTTCTGAAAACACAGTCTGCACGCTGTATGGACTGTGGGACTCCTTTTTGTCATCAGGTAGAAATGTCTACCACCAACGTGTTCACAAATGGATACTCTGTTTTCTGAACTTCAAATTTATTATATTGTTTTTGGAAAAATATACAGGAGAACACTGGCTGTCCTCTAGGGAATAAAATACCAGAATTCAATGAGTTGGTGTACCAAAACAGATGGCGGGAAGCACTGGATAGGCTTCTGGAGACTAATAACTTTCCAGAATTCACTGGCCGTGTATGCCCTGCACCTTGTGAGGGATCTTGTGTCCTTGGTATCATAGAAAACCCTGTCTCTATTAAAAGCATTGAATGTGCTATAATTGACAAAGCTTTTGCGGAAGGATGGATGGTGCCGCGACCTCCCGTCAAGAGAACTGGGTATGCCTTGCAATTCTAATCCCCTTTTCCCTTCATCTATTATGAGCTGCCACTTTTGCACACATTTATACTCGGTGCCTTCCCCGTATTTAACTTTTTTATTTTTATTTTTGCCATCTTCACATACATAATAATCACTTTTGGTCTTACAACAGAAAAAGAGTTGCCATTGTTGGAAGTGGACCAGCTGGTTTGGCTGCTGCCGATCAGTTGAATAAGAAAGGTCATACTGTGACAGTTTTTGAACGTGCTGATCGAATTGGTGGTCTTATGATGTATGGAGTCCCCAACATGAAGGCAGACAAAATTGATGTAGTTCAGAGACGGGTAGACTTAATGGAAAAGGAAGGTGTTAACTTTGTTGTAAATGCTAATGTGGGAAAGGATCCTTCGTTCTCCCTTGATCGGCTTCAAGAGGAGCATGATGCAATTCTTTTAGCGGTAGGATCAACAAAACCAAGGTAAGCACTATCTTTGACTTGCTACATTATTGTTTGTATATATATTTACAGAAGATGCCTCATTTATCTTATACTAATGGACTCTATTTGGCAGGGACCTTCCTGTTCCTGGACGTGAACTGTCTGGAGTCCATTTTGCTATGGAGTTCCTTCATGCAAATACTAAAAGCTTGCTTGATAGCAATCTAGAGGATGGTAAAAACATCTCTGCCAAGGGCAAGAAGGTGGTAGTTATTGGTGGAGGTGACACTGGCACAGATTGCATAGGAACTTCTATTCGTCATGGCTGTAGTAGTTTAGTGAATCTAGAGCTTCTCCCCCAGCCTCCGATGACTAGGGCTCCAGGCAATCCTTGGCCCCAGGTTTGATCATGTCCCTCTAATATTGTGCTATTCATACTGTTTTGTTACTTGAAATTATTAATATTCTAACAGATAAAGCCTCCCCCCTCCCCATTTTCTCCTTCATATATATTATATATATATTTTAAAATATTTAGTTACATTTTTTATAACATTTGGCATATACTTTGCTAGTAACTATTCTGTTTTTGTAGATAAATTTTCTGTTTAAGTCATGGGGTGCTCTTGCTATTAAAGTGTAATTAATTAATCTCTTGTGCTCTAACTTTTGACGATCTTTTGCATCATATTATTATGTACTTGGCAGTGGCCTCGTACATTCCGTGTGGATTATGGGCATCAAGAAGCTGCTACGAAATTTGGCAAGGACCCAAGGACCTACGAGGTGCTAACGAAGCGGATCGTTGGAGATGAAAGTGGAGTGGTGAAAGGTCTTGAAATTGTTGATGTGAAATGGGAGAAGGATGCTAGTGGGAGATTTCAATTCAAGGAAGTAGAAGGTTCTGAGAAAATTATTGAAGCCGATCTGGTTTTGCTTGCAATGGGTTTCCTTGGTCCAGAATCGGTAAGTGTTATTATTATTTACATACCTTACTCTTTTAAGGTAAGATGCCATAGATTCTAATGATTTGTTGGCCTTGATTGTTCAGACCATAGCTGACAAACTGGAGATGGAGACAGACAACCGGTCAAACTTTAAGGCGGAATATGGAAGCTTTGCTACGAGTGTGGAAGGTGTGTTTGCAGCTGGCGACTGCCGGAGAGGCCAGTCTCTAGTAGTATGGGCGATCTCAGAGGGGCGACAAGCGGCTGCACAGGTTGACAATTATCTGATGCAAGACGAAGAAGACTCTACTAGCAAGGTTGCGCAGCAAGGTAGCAGCGACAGACATACTGTTGTTACGTAAATTATTATTATTATTTCATGTTTGAATTGGAGAAGAAGTGGTGATTGTTATTGGTGTACAAGGGATCTTATTTCATGGACAGTTGTGGGGGATTGGGGTTAGAATTTTGCAAGTTTTTAGCGGGTTTATGCTAGGTTGTTTTGTGGTCATATATTTTGTTAATACGTTGCCTGTTGGTTTAAGGGCGGGCAGCCAGCCAGGCCTAGCAGAGGAATAAATGTACAGTTTTGTTTTTAGAATTGTTGCAATCTCAGTTATATTGGATAGTTAATGGCGTTTTAATTTGTGTTTTTGATTGGTAGTTAAATGTTTTTTTCCGTTTGTGTTTTTGATTGATAGTTAAATGTTGTTGAGTTTTTAGCGTGCCTTTTAGTATTATGCTGAGTTGAGTTTCTAGTGTATAGCTAGAAGAGGAGGTTGGGGCATTAATATTATGTGTGCATTTAGTGTGTTTGCTCTTTGATATCTTTTCATGCCATTGTTATACCATACTCTATTTTGACCTTGGGTCTAAAAATTATTTGTATAAACTGAAAGACATATAATATGTTAATTAATTGCAGATATATAATATGTTAACTGTGTTATAATTATCTCTGACCATTATCTTAACATGTTAGACTTAATTTGTGACCATTATCCTATTCTACTATCCTATTTTTTAGGATCATGGATGGATAGTTTAGGCCTTTTAATGATGTTGTTAATTACAATAATATTTTTTGGCTTCAACCAAAATCCAAAAATCGCCCTAGAGAAAAGAAACTATGTGCAATTATATGTTTTAAAGAAAAGGAAAATTACGTCTTCGTTTTACTTCCCGCAATGGCTGCGGCGAGAAGCGGCAGACGGTGATCGGAGAGATCGGTTTCCGCAGACGGCGATCGGATTCCGTAGACGCAGTCAGCTTCTTCCTACCTGACGCCGGCAAATTGATCTTCCCTCCCTTATCGCCAACCAAAATGGGGGGCTGTTCACCGTAACGAAGCGGTTTCTACTTCCGGGCCACAGAGATCTGAGTGGATGCCGGAAAGGGAAACCCGAAGGCAAGAGGATCGCGGAGCCTCGACGGAGATGTTCCCCTTTTTCCCTCTGAAGACATCGTCGATCACCTCTGCGCCGCTCTTGATCTCATCTTCGGCCTTCAAATTCCCGGCTTGCCACCGCATCAATTCTGTTTAGCATCTCCGGCCTTGGGCGATTAATTCTGGGTCGCAGCAGGACATCATTTCCGTTTGGCAATTTCTTCCAATCCTCTAAAAGCTAAGTACCTTTTTGTTTAATTCTTGCGGTTTTACATGATATTCGCATGGTTTGTTTTTGGTACTGCCCCAGGGAGTATACTATAAACTTAGTATCAAAGTAAGATTAGCTTACCACTTATGAGTATACATACATGCTTACTGCATGCACCTAGAATTCATTATATATGTCTCTATCCTTAGAATACAATCTGTGCAATGTATATTTGTATGTCAAATGAGGCAACCAAAACGTTTGATGAAATACCTGAACCAGATGTAGTTCCCCTTTCTCAAAATGATTGTATTGAGAAGGCTTTGTGTGCATTTACTGAGATGTCTCAGTGTCTCAACAAGAGGTTGAACCTAAATTCAGCCACATTTCTGGCACAAAAACCAGTGATTTCAATACTGGAAATTGGTACACTTGCATATAATCAAGAAGATATTCATCAGTTGATTTAGATGCCGGAGTAGAGAAATCAAATCACTCATGTCAACACAACAATATATCCAAGGCACATTGCCAAGTATTCATTTTATTATTATGTTTTTGAACATACGCTATTTGTTCAACTTACATTTGTTGGTGTCAAATTGTTAGTTCTTTGATAGATGTCATGAATATTGAATCATGCCTTATACATAAAGCTATGTGTTGGGATGGTCACCTTCATGAATCAAAATGCAAAATTCTTTGCTATGAATAGTATTAAACCCCTTCAGAAATTAAGTCTAAATGGTCACCTCTCATCGCTAGAAACCTCACGGTATGAATATGCATATTAAAGCTATGTTGAATTATTTCATTGGGCTATACATTGTTGTTTTTTCGTGGGCATCATAAATACAAATTTAAAGTATTTGTGAATATGAGATGTCCTTCATAATTTCATAATTCCAAAGAAGCTGAGTTGAGGTGCTTAAATGTTCCGTGTACATATATATTTTGTGTAATATATATGTGTAGTTAAGATGTGGATCTTGAGTTATCTAAGTTGTATGGTGATTTTATGGTATTTAGAAAGAATGATCTTCACACATAGTAATATGAAAATTCTGACCGGTGCAGTTTGAAAATTAAATTCATGAAAAATACCTATTGAACTCCTTTTGGCATGAAATTTTTTCTGGAGAACCTATACTTATGATTTTTTGATGTCTGTAAAAAGATTTTATTAAAAATATGCTTTGGTTGTTCCAGAAAAATTTTTAAAGTTTTGCCAGTGTGCTGCCAGTTAATTTTCTGCTTGGCGTAGTGTTGGGAAAAATTTTGAAAAAAATACTTTCAGACCTTGGATTGACATAAAAAATTTTATGTCAAAATGTGTTATCGTTTTTCCCAGAGAATTTTGCATTATGGGTCAAAATTTCTGAATTTTTTGTCCATTTCAATATCTTGAATTATTTGAAGGAAATGGATTATGTTGATATCGTATATACCCTGGAAGTTTAATATTAAAAATGTATTATGTAGATAATGTCCTCAATCACCAGGAATCTCCGTCACAAAGTACGGATGCCCAAAAGGCACAAACACTCAGTTGAAGATTATGGTGATCATGAGTGATCACCCTATGATGTTTGATGGATGATTTTAATATTCATGTGACTTGTGTATCATGATTCATTAATATTTAATTTTATTCTCAAATCATTTTATTAATATATTCATTTAAATGCTATGATGATTTCTGTTCCGGGCATATTTTCAAACGGTGATAATCTAAACTATAATATGCATTTGCATCCAGTTGATGCTTAGAATTTGAGAGCTTAATTGAAATATATAATGTTGTGACACACTTGCATACCTTGTTTAGTGAATGTGCTGGTTAACACATGACAATTACTTTTGTCACAATTTGTTTTCTCATATAGTGTAGCTATGTGCAATGTTCCAAAAATTCCGCCTAGGCACCGATTAATCGGCGCCTAGGCGCTAGGCGCTGGCCGGCCGCCTAGCGTATCACCATAATCGGTGGTCTAGGCGCCTGGCCGGCTAGGCGACCGACTAGGCCGCCTAGGCACTGACCGCCTAGGCCTCTTAAGCGCCGACTAGGTCTCCTAGGTACCGACTAGGCCGCCAAGGCACCGTCTAGGCTGCCTAGGCACCAATTAGATCTCCTAGTCGGCCAATTAACTATTGATCAATTCTTTTTTAAATGAGTTATTTCACTCAAAACAACATCGTTTTGAGCGAAATAATCCTAAATTGTTCAATCTCTAGATGTTTTTAGGTTAATATTTAATATTTTAGTATTAACTATTAAAGTATCAAATAGTTTATAATTATCAAGTCTTAAAAAATTTAAAGAAATTTTAAAAAAATAAAAATACACTGGCGCCTAGGCGCCGATTAATCCCCGCCTAGGCGCCCTAGGCGCTAGGCACTCCCCGAGCGCCTGATGGGTGCCTAGCGATTTTTTCAACCATGGCTATGTGTATATAACAAAAGAAAATGTGGCGTAACAATTATTTGCTATAGGCCATAAATATTACATCCTGTTAGAAGATAAATTCATAGCACTAATTATAGCTCTCAATTTTAAGAATATATATTTGTCCAAACTAACTAAGGGTTTTAATTTTCTAAGTCAGATGCACCTTAATAATGAATTTTTGATAAAAAATGGTCCACCTATCCCGGCCCATCAATCCCTGTAGGATTGCTTATATCACCACCATAGCATACCTCTAAAAGGGCTATCAAAGGAACCTCTGTCTGTTGGCTAAATGCCAATAACCCATTATAGCGTTAATGAATATTGTTTCTCGGCATTAGGGGAGATAAGAGTCCGAATCTAGTGGAATGGAATGCTGAGAAATTTCATAATAAAATGAAATCGTTATTTAAATACACGTTCTAGTTAGACTGAACTGGAAGTTCAGGAGATAATTGATCTGCCAAATATATCTATTGATCATAAAAGAGTGACTAGGTCATGTACCTTCCCCAACTTGGACCAAATATATCTACCGATACTCCTTGACACTAGAAGTGTAGGAGATCTATCTGTGAAAGAGGTAAGAATCATAATACTAAATCTAGTAAAGAAACATTGTCACTCTTGAAAATACCTTGAATAATCATGTCTCGCAGACATTCGTTCAGAAGACGAAAAACCCTAGTAAAATTATAGGTGCACCAAACAACATAATACTAGGGATGCGGAACGATCAGATCTAAATGTCTTTGGGAAATGACAACAATCCGGTTGATTTAGAAATTGCCATGCATGAATTCTATAAATATGGGAGAAAATTATGATAAAATGTTATAGTTGTTGATAATCTAGATCCAGAGTTAGACACCAGAAGTGCCATGACTATTTAACATATAAAAGAGCAATTAAGGCATAGCTCGACTCGCTAAAATGAATACATTCTCTTTATAACAATACACCATTGAGCGTTAACCTTGAAGGTTACAAATGGGTGTATGCACGAAAAAGAAATAAGAATAACGAGATGATATGATATAAAGCGAGTTTGTAGCTTATGGGTTCACGCAGGGACCCTTTGATTCTTATCAAATATACTCTTCCAGGATAAATGACATTAAGTTCCGCTACATAATATCACTGGCAGAACAATAATAAATATGCAGTTAATATATAGAAATCCTTGATGAATTTATAATCTCCGAAATGAGAAAATGAAAATCGTAGCATGTATGGTATTAAATTTTCAATGGTCTTATTGACTGAGTATTTCTTCTTGAAGAATGAATATGTATTTATTACGTACCCTTTAAGGAGTTGCGAATGGAGTTATTATCCTCATGAAGAAGGAATAATATGTACCATTATGTGTTCAATAAAGAGTAGATAATGAACTTGTTTATTATCTCAGTCAATATGTTGCACAAATGATAAATGTGTACATTTATGCATACTCAACAAAGTATATATGGGCACCCGTGTTGAACTTCCATATGGGAGGTTGTGAGTTCAAGCCTCAGTGGAGGCGTTATTGGCTCTTTGTGTTCCAGTAGGTTGAGAAAGTATGAACATATACAACATTGTAAAAGAGTCTGTA